ATATGTATCTATATGTAAGTAAATTATGTTATATAAATCTGTGTCTTGTGTATTTTTATTTTTCCCATGAAGTTGAATTTGTATTGTTCCATCATTACTTTAATTACAAGTTATTTTTATTATCATCATAAACATCGTCATTATCATGAAAACCATCATCATTTTCCACAATTAGACGATATCATCTACTACAACATCATTATCAATCCAAACCACCACCATCATCTTCATCAGCAGTAGTATCATCAACAATAAAATCAGCATCATCATCGTCATCTTCTTCATCATCGTCATCATCTTCATCATCGTCATTTTCATCATCTTCATCGTCATCTTCTTCTTCATCGTCATATTTTTCTTCATTGTCATCATCGTCATCTTCTTCTTCTTCCTCGTTATCTTCATCATCGTCATCTTCATCGTCATCTTTTTCTTCTTCATCGTTGTCTTCATCTTCATCATCGTCATCTTCTTCATCGTCATCTTCTTCTTCTTCATCGTCATCGTGTAGATCGTCATTAGTGTAAGTATGTTGATGATTGATGATCACATCTCAGTTCGACTGATTTATTAGTTTAACGATTGGACGGTCGCCCGCCTCAACATTTTTATCGTAAACAAAATGAAACAAAATAACATTTTGATCATAAATAAAATGATAGCAAGATAGCATTTAACCGACGTGTAACTTTAAAGCGAAAACTGAGAAACAAATAAAATGAAAAAAAGAAAAAGTTAGTAATGAACAATGAGAAGTAGAGAAAGAAAAATGGAAAGAAGATTTTGAGAGAGAGAAAGAAAGAGAGAGAGGGAGGGAGAGAGAAAAAGAGACAAAGATGGAGAGAAAGAGAGATAGAAACACGGTTGGTTAGTTAAATTGTGGAATCAAGCAATCAAGCAAGACATAGACGATGATGATTTTCAATAGTAAAAATAGTTTTCATTCATAATATTATAACACAGACGATTATTTTTAAAAATTTAAAAAAAATGAGAAATAAGATCAAAACTATGATAGCTATATAGGCTACACGTAAATGGCAACTGGCAATGATAAAAATTGTGTGCGCCTCTGTCAGAAAATAAATTAAAACCAGAAAAATACACTCACGCAAAAACTCACAAGTTTACATTTATTTTTATTCATATTTTAAAAAGATTTACACGCGCGCACACACACACGCACACACACACACACACACGCACACATACAAAAAGCTACATACGTATACACATATGTATATACAATTTCAACCAAATAAATAGTTGAATAAATGTATGGTTAAATAAAATTGCTATAATATTTTTTTCTATATATATTTCAAAGTAAAATTTTTATTTTATAGAATGAATTGACACCCAGACACACACACACACGCACACACGCACACACACACACACACACATATATATATATATATATATATATATACGTAATGGTTTACACTTCAAAACAAGTACTTTTTCTCAGCGTGTTATCACCGTACGATGATGATGATGATGAAATATGGTAATAATGACGATTATGAAGATGATTACAATTATTATCAATATTGAAAATTCATTACATTTAACGATTGCTTTGTTTTATATATAATTCATGAATATAAAATAATTAATAATGATGGCTATACTACTGCTACAACGACTACTACCGCTACTACTACTGCTAATACTACTACTACTATTGCTAATAATAATAATAATAATAATAACTTTAAAGGCTCTTCAAACTTTGATCACAATTTCGGCCTGATAACATCAAAGAAATGATAATGTGTGATAAGACAACGCTGATAAAGTAATGATGATGATGATAATGTTGTTGTTGATGGTGATGATGTTGCTGTTGTTTGGTAATGTTGTAGATAATGTTGTTGCTGATAACGATGATGGTGATGATGATAATGTTGTTGTTGATGGTGATGATGTCGTTGTATTTGATGATGATGATGACGATTGATGATAATTTTTCTGATGATAATGATGGTAGTGATGATGATGATGATGATGATAAGGAAGATGAAGATGACGACAGATAGACAGTATTCATTAATTATTGATATAACCATAACGAGCAATGATATCAATTTTGATATAAGAAAAGTGAAAGGCAAAATGATGATAGTATGATGATACTATGTTATAATATAATAATTATAATGCAATAATATAATAATATAATATTATAATTATTATTACGATTTTTTAATATAGAACATTATGATGATGACGTTGTTGATGGTGATGATGTATCGTTTGGTAACAAAGACGAAACCGAAAATGAACTGGGCAGATGAGGTAGATGTTATTGAAGAAAGGATTGGTCAAATGTTACAAAATAAATTCCTTGCATCAATACCGCTATGATATAACATGTGTTTGTCTACTTAAACTGAGAAGAATAACTTAATATTTTCTTTAAAATTACTACACCACAAACACACACACACGCACCCCTACACACATACACACACATTCATACATACATACACACATACAAACTATACACTTATACATACATACATACATACATACATACATACATACATACATACATACATACATACATACATACATACATACATACATACATACATACATACATACATACATACATACATACATACATACATACATACATACATACATACATACATACATACATACATACATACATACATACATACATACATACATACATACATACATACATACATACATACATACATACATACATACATACATACATACATACATACATACATACATACATACATACATACATACATACATACATACATACATACATACATACATACATACATACATACATACATACATACATACATACATACATACATAGACTCAGCAGATTATTTTAACAATGAATTGTCTACAACTGAAACTATAAGATTTGGTGTGCCACAAGGATCTGTCCTTGGCCCCATTTTGTTTCTGGTTTACACAGCTGATGTTTTCAACATAATCAAGAATCATAATTTTAAGTGCCATGGTTATGCGGATGACATTCAGATTATTGCTACTAGTCATGTTACATCGTTTCCAGTCATGATTGATAAATTAGCACTATGCCTTGGTGAAGTTGATCATTGGATGAAAACGCATCGCCTTAAATTAAATACCTGTAAAACTCAGCTTATGAAGGTTGGAACGTGGCAGCAATTGTCAAAATTACAAATTGGATCAATTAATATTTGTGGTGATTCAATCGATTTTTGTGCATCTGTGCGCAATCTGGGAGTAGTTTTTGATAGTAGTCTATTGATGAAGGACCATGTTAAATCACTTACAAGTGAATGCTATCATCATATGCGTGGATTTAGAATTGTCCGGAAGTCGTTAAGTAGACACATATTACAAAGTCTGGTGCATGCATTCGTACATTCAAGGCTGGATTACTGTAATGTTTTGCTCTACGGCACTGCAAATAATGTGATTAGTCAGCTGCAGTCAATACAAAATCGAGCAGCAAAGATTGTAACAGGTGCATCAAAGTTTGAACATGTGACCCCAATTTTGAGTGAATTGCATTGGTTAACTGTTGAAAAAAGAATTGTTTTCAGAATTGCTGTGATGGTTTATAAATGCAGAAATGGCCTGGCTCCCAAATACCTTCAAGATAAAGTTGTTCAGAGGGATATTCCTATGCATCGACTTCGACTGCGTTCAGATTGTTCAGATTTGTTAAAAGTTCCTTTTGCTAAATTGAAGATTGGATTACGTAATTTTTCTATTGTAGGACCGACGATCTGGAATAGTCTGCCACAGTACTTACGTGATCCGGGTCTCCCTTGGAAAGTTTCGAAAAGAATTGAAAGCTTATTTATTTTCTCTGAGCAAATGATACTTTTAGTTAATGGCGTTTTTGAGAAGATTGAAAAAGCGCCTATTAAACATTCATAATAATAATAATAATAATAATACATACATACATACATACATACATACATACATACATACATACATACATACATACATACATACATACATACATACATACATACATACATACATACATACATACATACATACATACATACATACATACATACATACATACATACATACATACATACATACATACATACATACATACATACATACATACATACATACATACATACATACATACATACATACATACATACATACATACATACATA